GATGCGGGTGGTCCCCGACATGTCCCAGCTGCACGCAGGCTTCGATGGTCATCGCCTACCATGGAACAGGCGCAAACGCCGTCGTCTGGAGCGCGCTAAGAAGCTGGTGATTCATGTGTTCTCGGGCCCTGACTCCAAGTACTGGGAGAAGGTCTTGAACCAAGATGATATGGAGGTGGTGTGCATTGATCTTCAAGCGGAAATTCCCGCAGACCTCCACGACGACCAGACCTACATGTACCTTTTGGCTATGGCGGCTTCTGGCAGAGTCAAGGCCATCGTGGGCGGACCTCCATGTCGTACAGTTTCTGCTTTGAGGTATCAGGATGATGGTGGTCCTGGCGTGCTGAGGACGGAAGAGCATCCGTATGGCCTGCCCTCCTTGTCATCGGCAGATTTGGAGGTGGTGCGCAATGACAGCGTGTTGCTGTTTCGGATGTTGGCCCTCTACGTGTTGTGTGAGGATGTTCGCCTTCCAGCTGAACCTCAAACAGCGCTGGCAATCGAACAACCTGAAGATCCTGCTCGCTATCGCCCTGCTGAGGAGGTGAAGGCCAAACGCTTCATGTCCATCTGGCGCACCAAAGAGTGGAACGATTTCGCAGCTCGATACCAAGTGAGGCTGCTGCACTTTGATCAAGGACCAATGGGCCACATCAAACGAAAACCCACGACATTGGCAGTGGTGCTCAAGGAACTGCACGTTCTGAATGAAGTCCGAGGTCCTCCAAGTGGTGTTGCCCCTGAAGTTCAGCATCATGACCGTCGGGAGCTGACAATGCAGCAACGATGTGATGAATCAAAACAGTGGGCTGCCTGGGCTCCATGCAGGTTTGAAGGTTGCCATCGTTTTGGCCTTGCAGGGGTGGTTGAATCAAGGCTCAACTCCATCACTGGAAGCAGCTCTTCGGCCTTTGACTCCTGCTGCACTGGATGGCTGGCGGCAGCACTGTTTGAATGATCACATGCCTGCTCGACGTGACTGCAAGCATTGTGTCCGTGCTGCTGCAAGGAGCAAGCCCCACAAGAGAATTGTGCACCCTGAAGCCTACACTTTGAGTGTGGACCTGTCTGGCAAGATGGCTCCAGGGTTGGATCAAAGTCGGCATCAATGTCGCTACATGATGGTGGCCGTCTACACGTTCCCTGTTGATGGTAATGGTCGGCCATTAGCTGAATTGGAGGGTGGCCGCCCTTTGGATGGTCACATGGATCATGATCTACCTCCAGGTGATGATCTTGAGTTCCCACAGCCCAACATCGATGAGGATGATCCGGGTGATGCCTTGCTGCGTGAAGAGCCGGTTGAAGGGGCTCAGATTCCGGGGGAGGAAGCGGCGCTGCGTGCGTGCCAAGCGTCTCATGAAGCATGGCATCAAATGGTGGAGGAGTCCAAGGATGTGACAGTCAAGAACTTGACCTTTGTGGAGGTCCGCCATGGAAGAGCAGTACACCACATCCTTCCTGCACTTGCTCGGGTCTACGCTCGTGTGAGGAGCTTGGGCTTGCCAATCTATCGCATTCATTGCGATCGGGCCGGGCCAGGGAGCTGATCTCTGCTCCGGTCCGAAGATGGTCAACGGACCGTGGCATTGTCACCACTCTGACAACCGGTGACTCCTACAAATCCAACGGCCGGGTCGAAGGTGAGTTGGGGGTGATCAAGAAGCACGTCCGCACCGTGGTGGCTTCTTCAGATCTCGGCCTGGACAAGTGGCCGCTGGCGGCCATCCACATCGGTGAGCGCCGCTTGAGAGGTCAGCTTCGAAGTTTGGGCTTTCCCTTTGGTCCACTCCTGAAGTTTGGGGCAAAGGCATATGCCTTGAAGAAATCATGGCAAGAAAGGTACCAACCCTGGCGTGAAGTGCGTGATGAGGTGACAGTGCTTGGTCCAGCCATTCAGTCATCACTGACAACCACCAGCTACTACGTCCAGTCCATCGAATCACAACGGTACTTCTATACCGATGATGTGGTGGTCCCCTCGGCTGAGCAACCAGAAGCAGAGGAAGCCTTGGTTCATCTTCCGGAGCTGGGTGATTCGCCTCCAAGGCCTATGTGGGAAGGTGGGGTTCCGCGTCGACGTTTGCGGGACAAAACAGCTGTGCCACAACTTTCCATGTTGCACATGGAGGGGGAGGGAGTTGCAGCCGCCTGGATGAATACATGGCTTGCTGTCCATCGAGACCAATTTGATGCGATCGCTCCCAATGCTCCGTGTCTCTTTTCTTTGGAAGTTAGCAGTGACTGTTGGACGCTGGAAACGCCCGAGAGGACATCGTCCGAGGAGGCTGAGTCTCAAGGGGGTTCAAGCGGCAGTGTCATGGAGGTGGACGGGTTAGGAGGTGGGGAGAAGGAGGAGGCGCCAAACAACCAGGATGGTGGCTCACGCCTGGTGGCCTC